CCCATGTTTGCCAGATGTGAAGAGCTCATGCCGCCAGGTTTTAGGGTTTTTTTTTTTCCAGAGGAAATTATTCCATAGATATAGCTATAGATATAGTATGTCCATGTTAGGTGAGTGTAGGATCTTCTTCCTACGTCACTATCTTGAATTGGAACTGTTTTTTATTTTCTTTCCCTACTAGAGTTAACATTTATATCAAATAAATTATAAAGTAAAACTACAAAGAAACAAAAATATTTAACACTCACAGAGACACAATTTTGTAAAGAGGAAAGTTAACCATAATTAGCATAAGTACAATAAATTATATCTGTTGATATTTTAGGGGAAAGTATTACCAGAAGAAACACAAAAATACTTTTAAAATACAGCATCATTGCCACAGCACATGGAAACATTGCCATAAAAAAATTAACGATTTTTGCTTAATTTTTCAGCCCTCTTTGAATTTATATTCTGAAATTTGATGTTCTACTGCAATTCCACTTGCATGGAGTATCTTTTCCATCTCTTCAAGTTTTACATGCATCCTTAAAGCTGAAGTGTATCCATTGTTGGTACCAAATACTTGGGTCTTAGTTTTTATCCAGCCAGCCAGAGTGCCTTTTGATTGGTGAATTCAAACCACTTATGTTTAGAGTGATTTTTTAGTAAGTCCTTAACCATTAATAGCTTTTATATTTCCATTATTTCTTTTTACCTCTCTTTCTGCCTACCTTTGTAAATTGGTTATTTTTCATGGTGGTATGTTCTGTTTCCTCCTTTGTCAATTTGCTGTGGGTTTTGTCTTATTATTGATGTTCTAATTGACCTCCTGTTTTTTCTTTAACAACTTATTGTTGCTGTATTTATTTTTCCTGCTTTTCCTCTGACTTTTATACTGTAGTTGAAGAGTTGACACACCATCCTAATACAGAGTTACAGTTTTCTAAGGTATATTTTTACTTTTACCTAGTGTGTTGTGTACTTTTGAATGTTTTTATGTGGCTTATTAGCATGTCTTCGTTTTAGCTTGAAGAACTCTTTATCAGGTTGCTTGCAAGGCAGATTTAGTGGTGGTGAACTTTATTTCATTGGTCTGGGAAAGCCTTTATTTCCTCTTCATATCTGAAGGGAAACTTTGCCAGATTAAATATTCTTGGCTGACAATTTTTTGTCTTTCAACACTTCAAATATGTCATCATGCTCTCTCCTGGCCAGTAGATGTTCTGCAGAGAAATACACTGATAGCCTAATGGGAATTCCTACGTAAGTTACATTTTTTTTTAATTGGATGTCTTTAATATTCTTTATTATTTGTGACAGTTATGTCTTATAGAAGGTCATTGGGTATTGAGATAAAAGGGTGATCTATTAGTTGGTAGACTTGGACATACATAACTTTCCTCAGGTTTGGGAAGTTCTCAGCTTTTTAAAAATTTATTTATAAACTCTGCCCCCTTCTCTGTCTCTTCTTCTGAAATCCTGATTTATTCTGATATTTGCCTTCTTTATGGATAATCACCACTCACATAGGCTTTCTTCACTTTTTTTTAACTCTAATTTTTCTCTTTTGTGTTATTTCAAAATTCTTATTCTCCGCGTCAATTATTCTTTCTTCTATGTGATGGGCCTTGTTATATATGCTCTCTGTTTTATTGAATTATCAGCTCCAGAATTTGTTCTGTTTCTATAATTTCATTCTCTTTGGTAAAAAAAAAAAGAAAAAAGAAAACTCATTTTGTTTGTATTTTTAATTCCTGACTTCATTGAATTGTCTTTCTGAATTTTCTTAGAACTTGTTGAGTTTCTTCATTATAGCTATCTTAAATTCTTTATCAGTTAGATCAGAATACCCTGTGCCTGTGAGCTTGATTGCTGAAGAATATAATTTTCTCTTAGTAATGCCCTATTTCCTTGAATTTTCATAACCTTTGTAGATATTTATTGGTGCTTTCACATTTGAAGTAGAAGATACCTCCTTAATTCTGCTTACTGTCTTCAGATGGGGTATTATGTTCTATAGTATTGTTACCATATTTTTCCTCTGTGTTTTTGAAGAAACCTTCTCGTCATCTTGTTCCTCCTTTGGGGCAGTTTTCTAAAGCTTTTAGGTTTTCTCTGGTTCTTATACTTTACCAGACTACAAGCATTTCTTTTGTTTTCTAGAAGGTGGCACTATAGCTCAAGTTTGTGCTGTCTACTAGAGACTACTCTCACGGTGGCACTTGAGAATCCTGCACAAGGAACTAACAGACCTCGAGGGGAGGTGTGGGTTTAGCACTGGGTGCTCCCACAGACCCAGTAGGATGATCCCAGGAGTGGTACTTCTTGTTAAGAACAGTCCTTCTCACACCATTTGAAATTCTTACCTGCTTCTTTTCCAGTATCCTCCCAACTTCCAGTTATAGAGCTCCCACCTTAGTACTCCATGTGCTGAGGCAGAAAATGGATTTCTCTAGTTGCCATAAGTAGGCAGTCACTGATTTCTTTTCCCTTGCAGGAGAGGTCACTGCCACCAGATAAATCAGCACCCTTCAGTGTTTTCTTAGCCTGGAACGTTTCTCTTACTGCTTCTTCTGCAACCAAACTCCTATATTTTTCCCTTTAGGGTAGTGTGCTAGAGTCTGCCTTAGGGAAGTCTAGACTCAGGAGCATGTTCTCTCTCTGATGTGTGAGTGCCTGTTCAGATCTGCACTCACCCGATTTTTGTCCCATAGTGGCAAGAGGGGTCTAGGCAGTTTGGCTACCTTCTCTGGTTCCCCAGCTCTTACAGAGGTTGGTTTGTCTCTTACTGGCTGCACTGGTGGGTGAGACTCCTGCCAGGTTCTTTGGAGTAAGGTGATAGGTCTGAAAACACCCACGAGGGTGCTTTGGTTTATGTATGAATGTCAAATCTTTTGATTAAAAAGGGGGATAAGTAGGAGAAACATTTTATGCCAGCATGTTGCTGACCTCACCAGGACTGTCAGATATTCACTTTAGAATGTTCACTTTGGCTGCAGGGTGGAGAAGAGCTGGAGAGGTCAGAAGTAGAAGCCTGAAATGAAGAAACATTCATGATTCTTACTCCATAATCTAAAGCATTGCATTTCATTTTATTTATAGTATTCTATCATTTATAAGGTTATTTTAGCATTGGTCTAATAGGATTTTCCCATTGAATGAGAAATAGTAACTAGGTTACATCATTAAACCTACAAAGTGATATTATAATTAAAAAGTTTGAAATATATGAGGGAAAATGAAAATATTATATATTTATCAATAATGGCTTTTTTAATTACTGTAAATATATTGAGCTATACTTTACAAAAGAAGGAAGGATGTCATTTGTATCTGACATAGGCTGTTTGCTTAATATGGTACCCTTTATTTATAAAATGAAACTTAGAAAATATAACATTCCATCTAAAGGGAGAATTACCCAAGGTAACATTACATAAGAATACCTATATCCTTACCAATCTGCTTTCATTGAAGTTAAAAAGCAAATACCAGAGCTACTGAAAACTATGACTATCCTAGCAATACTTACAACACACAGAATTGAATTTGATCTTAATGATAAAACTTCCTATTAATAAAATGAAGTCTCGATAATATTATACAATGTAGGGAATATTTTCATTAAATGCTATCTGACTTTAAACTTCTGTGACAATTGTTAGCACTGATTTATGTAAAATTCATTTTACTTTAATTGAGTAATTGAAAACAAAGGCACTTTATATTGCAGTAGCATAGAAATTTATTTTTATTTTTACATAGAGAACGAGAAGCTCAAGCAGACCCCATGCTCACTCAGCATGGAACCCCAATGTGTAGCTTGACCCCATCACCCTGGGATCATAGCCTGAGCCAAAATCAAGAGTTGGATGCTCAACTGGCCAACCCACCCAGACACCCCCTAGAAGTTTCTAATTACGTGCATGCTTCATAGAGACCAAACCCTAAAGTTAAGATAAACATTTTGTTTTTCGATTGTCATAAAGATGTTTAAGGACTACTGATAAGTCAGTAAAATTAGTAATGAAAGTGAAAATTTTCACATTATTTGATACTCACATCTTAAGTACTAGTTGGAAGTAGCATTCAAAATGGTTTTGCTAGCCATAATTAGTTTTTTTAAATTTGTATATAAGTAATGTTTTTCAGTTTAGAAATTGATTGTTCTGTGCACAGTATTTAAAAAATACTTTTGGTTACTGCTTTCTACAATTATGGTTGAGATCTATCTATAAACCATTATCAACAAGCATTCATAGTACTAGCACATATTATTTTTTCAGTAATTTTGGAATAAATCCTTTGAGTAATAGTACACATATGTAGATTATTTTGTGAAATATTGTTTTAATGATGGAAGACTTTGTCATTTAAAGATACCTGCTATTAGGATGCTTGGGTGACTCAGTCGGTTAAGCATCCGACCCTTGATCTCTGCTCAAGTCATGATCTCATGGTTTATGAGTTTGACACCCTTGTGGGGCTCTGCGCTGACGGCGTGGAGACTGCCTGGGATTCTCTCCCCCTCCCCCACTCTGTCTCTCAAAATAAATAAACTTTAAAAAGATATTTTCTATTGACTCCATTTAAATGTAAACTTAGTTGGTCATACCTGGGAACAGAATCCATCCAGATTTTTCTGGACCATGTTCTTTTAAAGAAACCTATGTCTGGATGTAGAATATATCCCTATTCTTTATAAGAAATATAGGAAGACATAGTGGATGGTGGTCGGACATTTGGGTTCTGAATTCAGATTGCCCATTTTGACTCCAAGTGTCTGACTCACTTAGTAACTACTTTAGAGAGTCATGAGAATGGAGGTAAAAAGTATAAACTGTTGAGCATATTATTTCACAGTAACAACATTGACTAAGAGCTTTCTCCCTTAGAATTCTCTGTGGACTACTTATTGAACATAAACGTTATCTTAAATTAATGAAAGTATATTCCACGTTTTAATAACCTTTTTTACATTATAAATAATTTCTCTAATCAATTTTTTGTTTTAGGTCACTTTTCACATCGAGCCATATAGCAATCGGGATGATCAAAGCATGTACAAAAATGTCAAATATATTATAGACAAGTGAGTTTCTTCTGTGTTTATAATTATTTTTTATGAGCCAGTCATAAGTACAGTTATAAGAAGAGTAAATTTAAATGTATTTGAGAGATTTGAATGAGTTATGATCTGATACATTAAAACTAATCATTTTGAGGAATATTTATGAAATTCCTTATAATTCACTTTCTGTGTAAATTGTTCACTTATACTGTTTGTGTTTATTAAGCTGTTTATGATTTCTCATATCATATAAATGATATAAAATATTTTAAATTGATGTTATTAAACCACAAATATTGAGTTTTGTCTAATTGTGAAACATGAACTGCTTCTCTATCAGTGGACTCACATCTAATATTTATATTTAATCTGATTATAAGGAAACATTTATTAATTTTGTTCAAGGATTTTACTGGTGAGAACTGTGACAGATTCTATATACTCTTAAAAAGAAACTCATCAGCAACAGGGAGACATTGATTAGTAGGAAGAAGTTGACATATTCATATAGAAAATGGGCTTTTTATGGTATTGGTCATTATTTGTAAATCTCAATATAAGATAATTAATTTGTTGTTAGGTTATGTCTTGATGTATCCAGTATCTCATTTTTCTAATCTGCAAAATTGAAAATACTTTTTTAATCATTACCCATAATACAACTGATCCCCCTCAAAGAAAGTGAACAATGTGCTTATTAAACTGCATGCATTACCTTCATTTTCAATATAGAAACAGTTATGGTCTATGGAAAATGAGTTGCAGATATTCATTTTTACATATTTTTGTATTTTAGGTATGGAAATCATCCAGCCTTTTATAGGTACAAGACTAAGACTGGCAATGCCCTTCCTATGTTTTATATCTATGATTCCTATATCACAAAGCCTGAAAAATGGGCCAATCTGTTAACCACCACAGGGTCTCAAAGCATTCGCAACTCTCCTTATGATGGACTGTTCATTGCACTTCTAGTAGAAAGCAAACATAGGTATGATATTCTACAAGGTGGTTTTGATGGAATTTACACATATTTTGCCACAAACGGCTTTACTTACGGCTCATCCTATGAGAACTGGGCAGGGCTAAAATTTTTTTGTGATCAGTTCAACCTACTGTTTATCCCAAGTGTGGGCCCAGGATACATAGACACCAGCATCCGTCCGTGGAACGCTCAAAATACTCGGAACCGAATCAGCGGGAAGTACTATGAAACTGCCCTGGGTGCCGCACTCCATGCCCACCCCAGTGTAATTTCCATCACCTCTTTTAATGAGTGGCACGAAGGAACTCAGATTGAAAAAGCTGTTCCCAAAAGAACCAGTAATACAGTATACCTAGATTACCGACCTCATAAACCTAGTCTTTATCTAGAACTAACTCGCAAGTGGTCTGAAAAATACAGTAAGGAAAGAGCTGCTTATGCCTTCGATCATGAGCTGCCTCTTTCTTAATGCATTTATAATTCTAGAAATCAATAAATATTTTAGGAATAACTGTCAATCAGTATACACTGATACACTTAATAAAAAGAATTTGTTCTTTTTTAAAAATGGTAATGTCATCATTGCCACCCTTCACAATGCTGCACTGAAAAAATGAGAGAAAAGTGCACAATGTTCTGAATTTGCAGTTGAAATTCTACTTTGATACTTTCATTTCACAGTAAATGCTTGTGTTACATAATTAGTGCACAGTTACATCAAACTTGTATTCTGGGCCCAAAGAAATAGATTGTGTGCATATTTGGTATGTCTACTGAGGAAAATAAGGCTTAAACGATAGTGTACGTGTTTCATGGAGAATTTTTTCAGTGATTCAGTCATCCAGAGTTTGAACACTAAAGTCTCCAATAAAAATACTTAAGGGAATGTAATCATAACATCAGTCTTACTGTGAATCCTATTGTGTGAGGAAGGCCTGCATCATCCTTTGAGGAATTTTGATAAACCATAGCACGCTTGGTGTTTTGTCTGTCTAATGTGTCTGCTTCACATCGATGAATTACAGATTTTAGAAGCTGTGGAAAGTTGTTTCATAAAAGTTAACAATTGCTTATCAGTTATTAAGAAAACATAGTTCACAATTGTTATTCATGTTTTTAAAATTCAATGTTAATCAGAGACCAACTGTTAGTATCAATTTTTTTTCTTTCTTACCTGTCATCGGATTTCCTTCTTGTTTTTAACTATTTTTACCAAAATAAAGAAAATTTACTTAGCATTTTAAGGCCATGGAAGTGAAAATATTTTTATATCTTAAATCCATTCCTACATTTTACTTTTACCAATTTAATGATTGAAATAATCTCATTTAAAATACTTTATTGTATGTAATAACATCCCCATGTAAAAACATCATACATTCATGGTACCTATCACGTTTAATGCTTGTGATCAGTTGTTTGTCATATTGTGACAAATTAATCTACCTGTATGCTAATAATGAATATTTTTTTTTAATGTTTATTTATTATTGAGAGAGCACGAGCAGGGGAGGGGCGGAGAGAGGAGACTACAGAATCTGAAGCAGGCTCCAGGCTCTGAGGAATTAGCACAGAGCCTGACACAGGGCTCAGACTCACAAACCATGAGATCATGACCTGAGCCAAAGTCGAACACTTAACCGACTGAGCCACCCAGGCGCCCCAACAATGAATCTCTTTAATAATAGAGTGTATGTCATTCTCCAGTTCTTATAGTTAATATTTGTAATTAGAAATATAGTAAAAAATCTATGCTTACATGAATATTATTTATTAAAGAGAAGCAATTGGGCAGTACTAATCAAAAATACATATAAATCTTCAGGGTTTAGAGATGCTCATACAGAAATAAATTAACAACAGTAGAATTAACAGTAAATTAACAATTTATCATAAAATAGTCCATCAGGTGATGAAATTTATTTTCAATCAGTGATTTTGAAGTAAAATTTCTTTGAAAAGAGGCAAGACTAGTGTTAAACTTACAACTTAATTTGCCATTTCTCAGAATGATCAGACGATGGGAAATTAGTACAATAATAGTAATCCACTTTCTCAGAAAATGACAAGAATAAATTACTATAATGATGTAAGCAAGCATCTTCATAGGACCACTCATACAGATAGAACCTGTGGATTTTTTTTTCTTCTATCCAGTTAGCCACTGTATGCTATCCTAGGGATGAATTCTAAATACATCATGCCTAATAATCACACTGTATTAAATTTTGAAGAATACTACAGAGGAGTTTTTGACATTGCTTGTACTATATATTTGAACCTACTGTGACAGAAAAGTTTTGTGAAATGGTTCTGATTAAGGGAAAGTGGATAAAAACAAGGTCAGCAAATCCTCAACACAAATACCATCACTTCCTATTTTGCTCTCATTGCAATCAACAGCATGCTTTACCTCTGAACTTGACCCCATCCAGCCAGTAACAATCAAAGTAAGATAAAACAGATTCTGTCTTCAGTGCAGAAAGTTATTCTCAAGGGAAGAATGTTTGGAATCTGATATAATGGTTTAAGAATTTATATGAACATCGTGAGTCTTTTCACCTGTTAAAAAAAAATTAGGAGGAATCATCTCCAATAATTATTCTCAAAAATGCTCTCAAAACCCTTCCTCAGGTATTCATTACAGCTGCCTGCATCATTTGACTTACAACACAGTTTATATCATTATAATCACAAGTAAATGAGAGCAAAGAACTGATTGCCTAAACTATATAGGTGTAAATTCAATAAACAGTGTAATATATGCAATGCATGAATCATAATTCTTTTATGGTTTAATCAGTCTGTTTTGACTGTATAGAAAATCTTTGTTTTATTGTCCCCTTAAGGACTAATATTGTCAAAAACTGCTGTTATTAGTGTTTAAGTTGTACATTAACTTTTTTGTTTTGAAATTAAAAATGATTATTTTGTTATATTAACTTTCATTTAATAAAAGCATACATGAAATAATATATATAAAAATGTTTCTACTTAATGAAATATTTAATTTCTGATGATTAACAGATGAAAGTAGTATTCATTCAGCACTGTTTATTTTCTGTTTGAAATACGCAACACTCACAAAGTCTATCTTTAACTGCATATACATTTTAAATGTAAATTTGCTAAACATGTTTTTTTTTATTTGGGAGATGTTTTATTTTTTTTATTCTTTAGGCATAATCGTGTTCTCTTATGAAATTGGTCTTACCGTAACAAGCTACCAGAAAGTCTACCCAGTTTATAACCATGCACTTTTCAAACTAATCAGTTACTCAGTTTAAACACGATGACATGTGTGAACTCTATAGTCCCTACAGAAACAGCTCTTAAAACTCTGTATCTAAATTTTGGATTAAGGTCAAACACCCTCATGTCCCATAGTGTAGAAGCAATACTTTATTTATTACTATTAAAGTATAAAGCAATACTTTTAAAGTATAAAGCATATAGTATAAAGTATAAAGCATTACTATTAAAGTATAAAGCAATACTTTATTACTATTACTTTGTTACTTTATTTAATAAATAATATTTATTTAGAAAAAGTCCAGTTACTTTCATAAATATCTACAATTTCAAAATGAAAAATGGACCTAGCCACAGCCACAGGCAGAAACGTTTTTTGGCTCACATGTTCTCTGTTTAAAAATAAACTCCAAATTGAATTTTATACTGACTTTGTTACATGTCCACGTAAAGTCTAAATGTTATTGTATGCTTACTGTAAAATTATCATTGAGAATTCAGGTACTACATTGGCTTAATTACAAAGACTCACTTATCCTTAGTCTAAAGAACTTAGTAGTAGTGCTGTTACATTTCAATTATCCGTGGAGAGAGGAACATTTTTCAATGCGATTAGTTTTTGTTGGTTTTACATAATTTAGGATATCAAAAGAATTTAAAAACTAGTAAGCAAATGATCATACATCTAAAATTTACTGAAATTAAAAGAGTAGCACTTTTTATTCTTAGTGTTCTAGATCCCATTTAAAAGCATCTTCTATATTAAATTGTAAAAAAAATTAACCATGAATTTAACCATAAAGAGACTTTCAGAAAATACCCATGAAATAAATATCTCATGACATAAAACAATAGTGTACTATTATAATTCTATATACAATTCAACTTATGGTATATGATTGGATCCTCATGCTTCGTGTTTTTGACTTGAGAGAATTGGTTAAAAATCCAAGAAAAGATTGTAAACAACATAAAGTGACACTCTTTAGCTATTCAATCACATTTAAAATACATTACAATTATATTCATGCATAAAAGTATGTGTGAATCAGTTTTATAAAAGCCATTATGAAGACACTCACTCTTTTGATAATATCTAATGTAATGCGATCTTTACCCTGATTTTGAAAATACAAAAAAAAATTTAGAAGAAATTCAATTGTAATAAATGCAATAAAGTTTAGAAATTTATATATTTAAACAGTCATCTAAATGTAGTGTGCCAGAACTTTTTTTGTATGTAGTAAGTTTATTTTGAAGACTGCCATTCTATATATTGTTTTTTACTTAGATTCATTAGCCATGTGGCACACTATTAAGCCATTAATATTAAAGTAGAGCAATCTGATCTTTGGCTTCATGTAAAAAGTTAACTGTAAATCTGCTAAATTCTTACTTGAAAATTGGTGTTATATTCATTTTAATTAAAGTACACGTGTCTTGAAAATACTCGACTTTTTAGCCATCTTGTAAAAAATGTTGAATGATAATCACTTTATGAATAAGTAGCTGAGTAGTATTATTAGTAGTAGTATTATTTTTCATGAGTAGTATGTATTTTCAGCTAAAGACTTAATCTCCAAATATTCTTTTAATGTACACTATTTCACTATTTTCACTTGAGTCATTCTTATATAGGGTGTAGGTAATATTTCCTTTTTTTCAAATATGTGTACTCTTTGAAAAACATAACATTTTTTTCTGCAAAAAGGGGGGGCCTGAGTGGCTCAGTCAGTTAAGTGTCCAACTTTGGCTCAGGTCATGATCTCACAGTTCATGAGCGAGCCCTGCATTGGGTTCTGTGCTGACAGCTCAGAGCCTGGAGCCTGCTTTGGATTCTGTCTCCCTTTCTCTCTGACCCTCCCCCACTTGCTCTCGCTCTCAAAAATAAACATTAACATTTTTTTAATCTGAACAATGAAACATGAGATTTTAAAAAGAATATACATATACAGTGCTAGCATACGTGGTTGACTACATATTTGGTATTGAGCTTGAGTAGTTAATATAAAATGTTACATGTTTCTTACTGCCAGAAAAGAAGCACCTCCTTTCCTCTCCAAGGTAAAGTTCACCTTGTCAACACAATTTAAAATAAAAGTTATAAGGAATATAGTCAATAGTACTATAATAGTATTGCATGTGACAGGTAGTAACTACATTTATGGGGAGCACAGCATAATGCATAGAGTTTTTGAATCACTATGTTGTATACCTGAAACTAATGTATATCAACCATGCAAAAAATTTCAGAAAAATAAATTTCTCAAATGGCCATTATACCTCGTGTCAAAAGTGTAAAAACCTACAGGAATCTGTCAGGTAATAAAAATAAAATGCATCAGGTCTAAGACCCTAGAGAGAGAATCCTAGGAACTGTGGACCACTCCTAAAAGGAATAGCTGCTAATCAGCTCTGTCAATGTTCATTTTGTCAATGTTCACTTTGTAGTTAGGCATCACTAAAATGAAGA